TGGCGTTATCAACCGATAAGCTCTTTTTAGAGCAGCTTTAGTCTTTGTTTAAATGAGCACGTCTTTGTTGAGTGCATCAGAAATTCAGGATGGACACCTAATTTGAAATATCGTTGCAACAAAACTAACAACGCGATCTCTCGCACGCTAGCTAGTGCGTGCTAACTTTGCGCGCAACTCCGTGACCAAGTTACCAAATCTCCATCGTTTTGGTGACGCCTCGTTGAAAACAAAGACCAAGGTTGACGACTTCTTTAAAGCTGTGTAGATTTCATTCCAACAAACTGATGGCCATTTGATGAACGTTGTTGGCTTCGCGAAGAAGAATGGCCATTCGCTGCTGTATTTCGTCTGGATGTCGGGTGCTAGAAATTAAAGAAGTAATGTTTAGCGCGTCAAAAAACATTGTATGATGTGATATGGTATGGTATGGTATGGTGTGGTGTGGTGTGGTGTGGCATGGTACGGTGTGGTATGGTATGGTATGGTGTGGTATGGTATGGTATGGTATGGTATGGTGTGGTATGGTATGGTGTGGTGTGGTGTGGTATGGTATGGTATGGTGTGGTATGGTGTGGTATGGTATGGTGTGGTATGGTGTGGTATGGTATGGTGTGGTATGGTGTGGTATGGTATGGTGTGGTATGGTATGGTATGGTGTGGTATGGTGTGGTATGGTATGGTATGGTGTGGTATGGTGTGGTATGGTGTGGTATGATGTGGTATGGTATGGTATGGTATGGTATGGTATGGTATGGTATGGTATGGAGCAATCCGGTATGGTCTGATGTGTTGTAACTGGATCAAAATTAATTAAATAGTGATTAAGTTTGTCATTTCAAATCCTCCAGTTCGGTCTGGACTAGATTCTAGTCCTTGCCGATTTTGATCCAATCCTCGGCTTCGCCTCAGACTTGATCAAATTGCGCGGATTTGAAATCTAGTCCAACCCTCATAGGCGGATTTGAAATACTACTTCAAATATCTCACCTCGTAGTGATTCTGTCTGCTGGTATAACCACCAGACGATCTGTGATTAGAATACCCTCGTTCATAACCCTCACCAGTCCCTCTGCGCTGACCTGCATGCGCCTGGGCCTCCTGTGGCATCCCAGTCTCAGGTCCCAGTTCTAGTAACACTTTGAAGTTCAGTTTATTATTGGCTGACTCTGACCTAACTTTGTAGAGAGATTCGTGCGGCAAGTGCGAGCCCGAATAACGATGAGCGTGATCACGATCTTCACGAACACGCGCAATAGACACGGAAGATTTTTGAACGGGAACCAAAGCTGGGCTGAGGGCGCTGAAAAATAAGATGTGTATTTAGTTAACCACGGATAAAAACCAGGATGACAGTGCATGAGAGTTAGCAATCACGCGAGCTTGGTTAGCTGTTCTTAATGCTTTCCCAACGCTATCATGGAACGCTCATTAAACCTTAATTTTGCTAATCTAAAGCTTGAAATGTTCCCCCTAACAATGCGTAATTACCAA